CTGAATTCGCGACAGCGTATTTCATGAAACCCTGATATGTGTTGCTGTGAAAGCACGTTTCATGAAACTGTGTTGACCGTGAAAGCGCGTTTCATGAATTGAGGGCACATGCCGTTTCATGAACCTGCCACTTCATGAGTCCACAGTTCAAGAGTCGATCCCCGGACCAAATTTCATGAGTTTTTGCGAATGGACATGAGGCCGGAGTTGTCAAAGTCTCCGGGGCGGTTTTGGCCGGTCCTGGGGCGGTTTTGGCCGGTCCCGGGCGGTTTTTGCCGGTCTCGGGGTCTGTCGGGTCTTCCGGGGCCAGGGCTCAAATAAAGATGGAACCGCTTTTGTCGATGACCTTTTCCTCGTCGACCCTTGTAGAGGCAGCCCGGGTACCACCTTGAACACCTCGAAGTCAATTACCGAAGAAATCTCACTGCAACAATTCATGAAATGCGCTGCACACATGTCAGGGTTTCATGAAACTCGCGTTTGCACATTTCAGGGTTTCATGACATGAAACAAGAAAGTCGAATCGAATCTAGCTGAAACCAGAACAATATTGAGATGTGTGTTCAACTAACCCGACCTAAAGAGGGGGAGAAAAATCCTAGAGGAAAATTGTGTTTGGGGTCTTCCCTTTTGGGTCCGTAGAAGCACGAAACTTGTGGAAAGATGCGGCATTCCGCAAATCCAGGGGCTCTTGTAATCACATTGGATCGATGCATGTTAGTGAGCTCGGGGGCTCATGCCGAGGAATGTCAAACTTTCACACGAGCGCCAGCCACTGCAACGGCGCGCGCTTTTTCAACTGTCCATGACCGGGTCAGAGTAATCCCTGCTGCAGGCGGCAGCGTGAGGGCCAGCTTCAGATTTTGCCTAGCGCGGCAGAAGGTGCCAAAGCAATCGGTTCGAGCTTGGGCCTGGTCTCGGATCCAAGGTGAGCGTTGCGAATTCAACCCTGGTTGCGCAAGGCGGTTGCTGGCTTTAAGTACCACTGTCGCTCAGGTAAAGGTGCAGCGTTTTGATCAGCCCTTGCTTCGAGGGTTTGTGGCAATAATTATCCCTGATCTGCTCGTTGTTCAGGGCAAGGCCTCCATCCTGCATACAAAGCAGTGGGCCAAACCGTTATGAGTCGAAGTCACATGTCCAAAAAGCAACCGTTGGGAGGTCTCCAAGAAGGACCCTATATAATGTGAAGTAGGCCTGGCAGGGCAACCAACGACAAAGATCCTGCGATACTACCGTTTGAGCCTTCATGGCTGCAATTCGAAAAGTCCATTTTCTGCGGACAAAAATGAACATTCGAGAAAAGTGGCTCCAGGTAGCAGGCAAAGGAGCATGCCTGTTTTGCACCTCAACTGCTGCGATTGGCGGGATGTGCAAAGGTCGGTTTATGCCACACTGAGAGGCGCGCTTTCTGTACCCAAATGCTGCTGGAGCGGGCAAATTGCAATCTCGCCCTTGCCAACACCGCCCCTCCAAGAAAGAACCTGTCTCTTTTCTAAGGGGGAAAAACACACACACAAGGGAAGATGCAGGTAATGACCTCTGGAATCTTTACAGGGGGACTCTGTTATTTGAATATGGTTTGTGTTGGGCTCAACTTGGCTCATTTGTAACCATGATGTCCGCTGTGCGCGGCTACGTAAGAGAGCGCAAACGGGTCGGAGCCGAACGCAAGGGGCAGTTTTTTGGTCCGGGGCAGTTTTTGTGTTGAGCCCTAAGCCCCGGGGCGAAAATTCGGCGCCCCCGGAAGATCTAGGTATATATATATATATTTCCCCCAGGCTGCGCTTGGCATATACATCACTATGTTTTTCCAGTGTCTTTATGCTGGCAAAACATTCCCGTTTTGCCCTGGAATCAGGGGTGGAACCATTCACACGCGAGGTACTGCCAGCGGCCAACCTGTCCAAGCTCCTGGTACAGGACTGTCTGCCCGCCGGGGGGTGGACCTTGAAGATGTGCCTCGGAGCTTACGCGATGGTGGTGGAAAGTGGGGAAGTCGGGGTGGGGGGGGTTAACCCTTCCTCCCACGAACATGGCACATTGGGTATTTGGAAGATCATTTTTTTCCTTTTGAAGGACCTGCTCTGAGTTGCCATGTTAGTGGTACTTTGGGTTGCCATTTCCGTGGCCCTTTCCCATGGCAAAGTAGTAGCTTTCGGATGGTTTCCCCACAGGACTTCTTGCTGGGTAGGAAGGACCTTGAAGATGTGAGCCTTTCCTGGCTTTGTTTGCGACGGACGGCCCCGCACAGGTGCCTTCCAACTTGCCCAGGTCTGGTGTCAAATGTGTTGGTGCGCAGTTCAGCCCCAAAGTAAGCAGTGGCACTCAATTAGCGGCATGGTTCACCATCTCGGGCTGAACAACAACACGAGGCACTAGTTGCAGGGTGGTCCCCATATTTTGCCGGTGCTGTCCTCATTTCCCAAACGACACCTAGGTGTGGGATGTTTTCGGCGAAGGTGATACGCTTGCTGCGTCGTGTTGGCTTGGAGATTGCAAATGAGCCGCCTTCGTCGCACGGCTCAGTTGCCCACGTCGCACGGCTCAGTTGCCCACATTGTGAGACAACATTAATTAGGTTCCATGTTGGACCAATCCGTTACTGACATGACCTCTGCGCCACGAATGCGGGAGGTGCCGTCGTGCAACGCTGGCATAGCCCTTAAGGGGTATCGTTTGCTGAACTTTCAGGTTAAAGCATGTGGGTATTTTTTTTCATGAGCCTCTTGAGCGTTGCCGGTGTATGGAGGCTGGGGGACCACTGGCCATGGGGGTGCAATATCCAACCTGGGGAAGTACTGAAGTTCCCGCATGTTCGATGCTTTGATGAGGGGCCCAACCTAGTGGATTCGTACAATCAGCCTTTCTTCTGATCAGAGGGTGGGCAGACATCGAGGTGGAAGCATGGCTGCGGATGATGTCCATTGTTTGTGATACCAACGGGCCCCGATTGTTTTTTTCAGGAGCGGAAAAGTAGGCTTGAGAGTTCCCCAAGGGAAGTCCTTGAATTTGAGAATGTATGGAGCGAAAGCCCCACGAATTGATCCGCTCCCTGCCTAGGCATTTTTTGCTGGCGCCAGTCTATATCCTGACTGCTTGGTCCAAAGAACCGGTCCAAGATCAGCAGGCATTTTCCTTTGTGACTCGGCGTCAGATTTCATGGTTTCAACCGGTGCCCCAAGCAGATGTTCTTTGTAGGGGTATCAACCTATAGTGCATGGGGAATGCAAGAAGTCTACTACAAGACTCCTTTGTTTCAGGAACACAGGGCACCCTGCGCTCCCTACGTCGAGCTGGTGACACCTGGATCCAGCTCAAGGGTTGGCAAGCTATGCAAAGACAAGCGCCAAGCTAAGCAAGCAGCCGACAACAAGCAAAGCCATGTTGAGACTCCTCCACGCAAAACATGCAACAAACAGAACACAGGCAGAGCATAGCAGGCCAAAGAATGAGTCAGGCGGCCTCACAAAATCACGCAAACGCCGTAGGTACTCATCGCATACAGTGAGTATATGATTTAAAGTTTCCCAGCAAGCCACAAGTGGACAGTCTTGGCCAGCAATAGATCGGATCAGTTTTTTCCTTGGTTTTCGTTTGGCCTTGGCAACCCGAAAGGTGACCACCTTTCTATTTCCAGGCCCTCCAGGTAAGTGAGATATGACAAACCTTGACTGCTATTGGCCAACGGATCTAGACTTTAACTTTTTGGTTGAAATAAATGTGATTTCCACCAACCCCCTCAAAAAGTGAACAACTTTTTGCGGGGTCAAGAGGTGTTCCAAGAAACGTAGCGCATGGATCCCTCTTGGAAGACTTTGGGACAAAGCGGGCCTGAGCATCTCCATGCTGAAACTCAGGTACCCACCCAGGTTGAGACAAACCTGGACCTGGAAGGGCTGAAGAAAAGAGCTATCTATTCTTCAGGTTTTCTTTTGCCTCCAGAAGATACGAAGAAGAAAAAGAAGTAGTGTTCTTCAGCTTCCCTCTGGTTGGTGGTTTTGTCCTGGTGCTTTAGTGGCTAAGGAGGGCCCATCTAGCCTCCACAGGAACCTGGGGTTCAAATCCCCAAGCCACCAAGGGTGCCCCAAAGAGAATTGTGTCATCTACTTTCGCCCAGAGGCACAAGGGAACTAGGAGGAACCCAACAATGTTATATGAATTGAGGGGTGGGATATGAGGCCATAGACTCTACGAAGTGAGGTTCCCTGCCCAGCCCCTAACGTTACTCAATTTCTAGACAAGTGAACATTCTTTATTTGGCCTTGACTGCTTTGTCCCTTTGAAGAGGCGCTGGACGCCCACATTTCGAGACTTGCCTCAGCTTTGGCGACAGGTGGTGCTCAACGAGATGGCGCCTTCGCTGATCTTGCGCGCCGATTTTGGCCTGGGGTAGCTCTTTTTGGATGGCCAAACTTGGACCCTGCCAGCGCCCTCCAGGGCATGACGGAAATTGTTGTTCCAAATTCTGGTGGCTGTTAGTGTTTGGGGGCGGGGCCAAGACCCAACCACCTTTGGGTAGACAATTTGTACTGAGTCCTGGAATTCTGCCAACCTTGGAGAAACCTGGCTTTTGGTTTCATTTGCCTAGTTCGCAAACAACCACAGGAGATTCCAGTGTTTCATGGGATAGCTTCCTCCTGTAGACTTTCCAGTGGCTTATGTTAGGCTCTTTGGGGGGAGGGCTGCAAAAAGGTATGTGTGTGTTTGATTTGCCCACTCAGCTTTCAATCTTTCGCCTTTTTTTTTGCCTGGTCTCTTTCTCGTCTTTCCGTCTAGGGCCAACAAGTCCAGTTGTTTTTGGGCCTAGGGAACGGCCGCAGCCCATTGTTCAACCCCGGCGCATCCCAGCGGACGAAGGCACACTGCGCGAAAGACTCGTGGAAGCTGACGTCGGGCATCTGAAGAAAGTTTTAGTGCAGAGTTGGGCCAAGGGGAAGCCACCCCACGGTTGGAAGAGGTCTGACAAAAACGCCGTTGAGGTGGAGCGACTCCATTTGGCTATGAAGCCGGCGCCCTTTGTATTGCAAACCCATTGGGTGGTTTTCATCAATTCTATCCCCTTGAGCTGAGCATGAGGCGGGGAGGTTTCCCCAGGGTGGCTGGTTACCGGTGGGCGGTTGGTAAGGTGTCCGGGGCTCAACAGCAAGGGTACCAAAATGGCACCTTACTAAATGGAACGAACCACAAATCAACTAAAACCTTTGTACCCCTAGTTCTGAGCCACAGAAAAACCAATGAAAACCAATGAAAACCAATGAAAACCAATGAAAAACCAATGAAAAACCAATGAACAACCAATGAACAACCAATGAAAACCAATGAAAAACCAATGAAAACCAATGAACACCAATGAACACCAATGAAAACCCATGAAAACCCATGAAAAAGCCAATGAACACCAATGAAAACCAATGAAAAACCAATGAAAACCAATGAACACCAATGAAAATTCATGAAACCTAGTTCTTGGAAACGTTCTCAGGTGACGCTGGTGGCGCTGACCATGGCCCACTTCAAGCTCCAGGGCTGCTTGGCGCAGCAGGTGGCGGCCACCCTGCAGGCAGCCCCTGGGACACGAGAGATGGGAGGCGGAAGGGCTTGGGGGCTGGGGGCTTTGACCGTCGGGTGGCCCCCCGTTTTTTTTTTTTTTTTTTTTTTTTTTCCGGTCTAAAGGAACGCCAGGATGAAGAAACAACTCCCATCGTTTTTTTTGGTCTATGTTTAAAGGAAGGCCAGGCTGAGAAAGTACACCATCTTTGGTGTTCCCTGGCTACAAGGGCCTGCATGATTGAACGAGAGTCATCAAGTCCTGAGGGTCAACTTTTTAGGAGCAGGCAACTAGTTGCACAACGTTCGCCTTTAGGCCACCAGCTTCAATTACGTCAGACGGAGCGCGCGCTGCGGCCTTCGGCTGTTCGATGCCGAGGAACGCAGCGAGCACAAGGCGCTGTGCCTCGGCGACGCGGCGAAGCGCTTGCTGACGGTGACCTGCGACGCATGCCTCAGCCTGTCGGACCAACTGCACATCTCAACACCCTCGGACGCTCAGCACAGAGGTTTAGTCGAAACCGCCATGGCACTGAGGTCCAGTTATGTACCTTACATCTCCACAAAGACTTTGCGGCTAGTTGGTTGGATCTTTGGACTTTAACTTTTTGGGACAACAATTGTCCATTGGACCCACAAGTTGAAGTTTTGGAGGGGTCAACAGCAACCAAGACCAGGGGACCTTCACAAATTCATGTCGGACAAACCCCTCCCGAAGGCATCGAAAGGACGTGCTTTCTTTTCTTGGACCCACCTCCTTAGCGCGGGACTGCATTTTCTGACCAGTCGCACCCTGGGAGTACAGCTCGGGAAATACCCTCACCCTACGGAAGCTGCCCAGAAGAGTCCCAAATAAACAAACATAGCCAGGGTCCATTTGGACATAGGCGGGGATCGGGCGATTCCCCAGAGGGCGCACTCCAAGGGGTGTAATGGGAGACCCTTGGAACGATGGAACGGGGGCCTGCATGTCCAGGCGCTCCACAAAGAGAAACTTCCTGCCATGGCATTTCTAAAAGTAAGGGTAGCCCCCGTCCAGGCGCTTGTTTTTTGGGTTTACCTGGCCGCCCAATTCTGACATCCACCTTCTGTTGAGGTGAAGTTCACATAGCAATAGGCCTTCTCTGCCTTCTTTGTCACATCCACAAAGCGAGAAAGAGGGTAAGTGTGCCCCCCCGCCCCCCCATTCCCCACAATCCAATCTGGAACTGGAACATTAGCGGGCATTCGGCCCTTTTGACAAAACCTGTACAGCTCCATGAGAGTTGGAAAAGATGGAGGTTAACATTCAATTTGCGCGCGTGTACGAAGTCACATGCCATATGCTCAGCTTGGGCATTTGTCACAGTGGTTGCTTTCACAGCTGGTTGAGGAAGAAGCTGGTGGGTACCCGTAAAGGGCTGTGAATCGTCGCCACTTGGTTACCAGACTTTGCAAAAAGCATGCCAGTCAGGGTTGTGGGATGGGGCTTTACCCCATTTCTGTGATACAAAAAGGAATCTCCCATGTTGTGTGGTGGGTTAGTCTTTGAGAAGCCCTTATTGTTGTATCACTATCACAGTGGTCATTTGCCACAGCCCTGATGCCAGTAGACCAGATCTTGCTCTGATTTTCGCAGCTGGCCGAAGCCGAAGACGCAGGAGAGCTTCAACCACCTGGTGGGCGGGCCCTCTGCAGGTAGCTTCTTCCTGGACTACGTGATGCCTGTCGAGCCCCGGATCCAAAGGCGCACCCCCGGAACCGGGCCAGAGCTGAATTCCAAAGCCCTCATTTGGGAGCAAGCGGAATAGACAGGTCACCAAAGCCAAAGATCTCTGTGAACGTGGAGCGTTGGCAAGGCCTTGTTTTAGCTCACTAGCCCCCACTGAACCTGCCATAAGCTGTACAAATGAATGCCTGGAAGAGGCACATCTCTCAAATGAAGACGGTCGTGCCGAAGCCGGGCAGGTACCCCCGAGACATCGCATGGAGCATGCTGAAAACATACGTTGGGGACCCGGTGGTTTCCCTTAAATGACCATTTAGCGGGTATCGGTATTAATCAGGATGCTCCTCAATCAGCCACGAACCTCAATAAGGCCTTAACAAGGCAGAGCAACCCTCACATATCTGTTGGGTCGATATGCTGTATTATGCTACTATATGTGGCTCGAGTGTAGGTTCCAAATCAGACACAGGATTTCACGAGGTTTGGGCTCAGGGCACGGACACTCCATCCTTTGTTTGTATAGCACATGTTTTAAGGCACCCGAAATATGAAGCAGACTCTGGACGCGTTCTGGACGCTTTGGGAACCTCAAAATGGGTTGCCCAAGTTAGCCAAGGACCGCGCCAAGTTTCAAGACTTCATCGAGATGGGGAGCCACGCGCCAGCGGGCTGCCATGCCCCTCGTAAGGTCTTACTGGTCCTGGGAAGCGAACACCAACGAGAAAGGTTCTTTTAATGGAAATCTACTTCTTCTTCGCGATGTTTGGGAGTTTCTGTTGTTCCTCTCTCTCTCTCTCTCGGCCTTTCCCCCCCCCGCCCCTCCCCTCCCCTCACCTCCCCCCACCCTTCCCTCCCTCCCTCCCTTCCTCCCTCTCCCTCCCTCCCTCCTCCCTCCCTCCCTCCCCCTCCCTCCCTCCCTCCTCCCTCCCTCCCTCCCTCCCTCTCTCTCCCTCTCTCTCTCTCTCTCTCTCTCTCTCTCTCTTTTTCTCTATATTTGTTTCTCTCTTTTCATTTGGTTCGCATTAGGTCCGAATGAAGAACACCAGCTCCAACACCGACTTTGACGCGGAGATCTTCCACGTGAACATCGGCAACCAAGCGATGCCGGAGCAGCACTTCATCGGAATCTCCGCCCAAGTCCCGGAGCCCGAGGCGCGAGCACGGCCCCGGCCTCCGGTTGGTTTGGAGAGGGTTACCTGTAAACAGGCCTGCCTTTTTGGAGATCTGTTTGATGGACTGAAGTAGCCCTTGTTGGAGGCCTTTTGATCCCTTGTTGGTGCAGATGGTCGAAACGCCGCTGGAGGGCGTGGAGCCTTCAGCGTTCTTCCAACAGCATCTTTCTTCATCAGCGTTCCTTGAAGGATACCTAGGGTTCCTCTAAGGGGTTCCTACATTACAGCGTTTTGCGAACCAGCACCGTGAGAAACTCACATGGCCGTGATCGTGGATGTGGGTCTGCATTTTTTAAGGAACCATGTTCATGGCTTTGTTTGAGGCAAAGAGTTGCGGGTGCACTTGTTTTCGAGGGGGGAGTGTTTTGGTGGAAGCCCACAAGGGAAGCCGCCATTTTAGGAGTCCCTCCAGTTTGACAAATGTTTGAAGCAAGGAAAGGATGCGTTTTGCCACTAAGAACTTTTAAGAATAAACTTGGATTCCAAAGGCGCTACCTTGGGACGGCCCAGTGTTGATTGATGCCCTTGGTTTCAGGCGCCGTGCTAGTTTGCCGAGCCGCAGGGCAAAGGATGGTCATCCCCCAAAGGTAGAAGATTGATGGGAAATCTTCAGTTTGACTTGCGGATGGCGGTGTCCATCGGTGTCCCTTTTGGAATTGGCTACTGAACATGTGATCACCGCCATTCACCGCCCGGAACCTTTGCTCGCTGTGGGCGTGGGCGCCCTTTACCTAGATCTAAGGGCTTTTGTATTACGCCTTGGGAATGCACCCACTGGGTATTGACCCCATTCAGGCACATTTCCGGATAACACCGTGTTATTTTGAACCATTCTGGGTCATTTCCCGAGGGTGTAATCCCAGGGTGGTGTAATACAAAAACCCGCAGACTAGACCAGCGCGGTTCAGCCCGCAAAAAGTTGCAAACCGACTCGGCCAGTCCCAACGCCAGGCAAGCAACGTGCCAGACATGCGCTTCTTGCTGGGCCAGGGCGATAGCGCGCACGCGATTCGCGTGCCTCGGCTTGAACGTCCCGTCCACACCTTGCACCCCTTGAAGAACATACCTCGAGGGTTTATCAAGCTACAACTTTATGGGGGCTTCCTTTGAGTCAGTTGGATTTGGAGTGTAATTTGGTGGATGCGACTTCAATGAACACAGTGGTGGCAAACAGCTGGCAATACGATTCCAATGAAACTTTCCTTTTGGGGTGCCGATGGGCTACAGCATTTCCCGCCGAACGTTTGTCCTTGCTGTCTCACGGAGCCCAAACATAACGGGTTGACAGAAGTGCGGCGCCTGAGAAGTTGTTCCCCAGCAGTTGGGGTCGTTGCCCAGACAGGCTCCGGCGTTTGCAGCGGCTGTTCAGGGGGTTGCCGTTGGGGATGCCTTATTCAGACCCCCTTTGAGCCAGAGGCACGTGTGCGGTGCGATGCTGGTGGCGCGCCGCCGACTTGTACACAACGGTTCCGCCACAGACCTGCTGGGGGGTATGTGGGCGTGTCTTTGTTGAGTGAGTTTCTCTTGTTGTTTTCGGCGGTCATCTTCCATTTGCTTAAGAATATGATTTTATCTGTCCTTGGTTCCAAAGGGACACTATCATCACTTCTGGACATATGTCTTTGTTTGTTGTTTTGGTTGCCCGGGGGCTCAACAAAATGTTTGTCCTTCGGGGTTCCCTCGCCTCAACTGCCTGAGGCCCCCAGCATCAGCACTTTCATGGCGCTCGCCGAGCTCGAGTCAGTGCAGCTGCAGGAGGGGGAAAACCATCGCTACGCAAACTGCTATTTTGCAACGTCCCCGAGAAAAAGAAAAAACAGACCTTCAGTGGAATTCCCAGAGAAAAACAGGGATGTACCCACGTCGTACCCCTCCGAAAAATCCGGAGCGCTAGCAGGAAGGAGTCAATGTTACTTGAGAGGCGCAAGAAGGGTTCCTCCAAATGCATCCTCCAGCACATAGGTAGCCCTACATTTGCATCACTAAGCCTTGCTCTGCCTTGCTACCGCGGCTCCTGAAAAAAGCAGCCAAAATGTGTCAGATGTTCATGAACACAAGCAGTTTAAACAACTGATACTGACTGCGCTGCCGCCGTGTTCCTCGCTCAGTTGCTAATGCAACACGTCGGGTCAACGAAGGGATAGAGCCGCATTTCGTCCATGGTGCTGCCAACCAATGAAGCAGCTCGGACACAGGCCCAATCCCCCGCTAGAACTTTTGAAGGCCTACTTACAAAAGCTGAGTAATGCTGCTACGGTGAGACGCTGCCCTGGCCGACAGTGTCTTGGAGCGTCCCGGGCGAACCCTCTGCGTGGGTCGGCGTGGTTAAGGTTCAAAAGCTGAGGGCGTTTATGACTCTGTTCTTTGCTCGCACGGCCCTCTGAGGAGTTCAATATTAAAAAACGGAGGGGACAACTACTTCTGCTTCTTTTGCGCGCGACCCTGGAGATGGGCGTGGCCAATATGCAGGGGACATGCTACCTTTTCTCGCGGTTTCGCGGCCGCTTCTTGAAGCCAGGGCCTCGGGCTCGACTCCTTGGTTTGGGCGAGCTTCGAGTGCATCTGGAAATCGCACTTGTTGGCCCGCGAAAGTGGTAAGCGCAGTACGCTGGCGCAGAAAGGGGGCAGCATGGCGCAGCTCCGGCTCGAGGACATCAAGTACGAATGCGGTCTTGAACATCGCAAGAATGCCAGTGAGAAGGTGGTACGCAAAGTACAGTTGCCTCCACTTTGCCCGAAAGTGCTGCAAAAGCTTTATGTTCCTTTGATAACAGATTCCGCAGTGCTGCTGCACGCTTTGATTGCTTTCGGGCCACCCCACTTGAAGTTTAAAGAAATTAAAGACTACTTCTTTTGTGTGGGGCAGGCGGCAAGCATGAGACATGCTATGCCATTCAACGTGTTGTGTCTACGAAACCGGGTTAGCTGCGCTTTCACGAGGCGCAGTTGCACAGCGGCATTTGTCTGCAGCACCTGGCTTTCACACCTCCTGGTTGGCGGGGAGTGGGGAGGTCCCTTTGGGGACTCCTCGTATGGCCCCAAGTTAGGAAGCCTTGGCACCATGAAGCCTTGCTTCGTTTGCGGCCACGTGTGTCTCTTTGAGGGTACCCGGTGCGAAACGAAAACGCAAGCTGTCCAACTGGGAGCGCCTCATGTACACCGTTCCTGCTGCCGCGGCTGCTACTGTTACACGCGTGTCGCTGTCTGCTTCCAGGTGGACGCCTTGGCCACAGAGCAAGGCTTTGTGATGAAGTCGGTGGGCTTCAACTTCTCCGAGGAGGCGGGGTGTTGGCTTGCAACACCTGCTGCGAGCGAGGGCGAACGCATCGTGTCATTTGTTTTCTCACTCGTGGTTGCTCGGTTCGATCCGAATTGTGGCATCTCCCGAGCCATGCAGTTGTGCTTTGAGCTTTTGTGCTCAGAGTGGGTTGGTGGGTTGGTTGGTTGGTTGGTTGGTTGGTTGGTTGGTTGGTTGGTTGGTTGGGTGGGTGGGTGGGTGGGTGGGTGGGTGGGTGGGTGGGTGGGTGGGTGGTTCATTGTTTGATAGCTTGATTGGTGGTTGGGTGGGTGGTTGATTTGAGATAGATTTGATTTAATTTTATTTATTCATTGGTTGATTGGTTGAGTGAGTGAGTGAGGGAGCGAGCGAGCGAGCGACTTTTGGAATGATTTTGTTGATTGGTTCGTTGGTTGGTTTGTTGGTTGATTGGTTGGCTGATTGGTTGGTCGACGAATTGATGGACTGATTCGTTGGTTCATCAATGAATTGAAAGATTGATTGGTTGATTGATTTGATTTGATTTGATGTGATGTGATTTGATTTGATTGGCTGGTGGGATTCATTGGCTGGTTGGTTGGTTCGTTGGTCTGTTTGTTTTTTGGTTGGTCGTCCAGCTTGTCTTGTTGCGGATTGATTTTGTTGATTTTCGTTGGTTGACTGATTGATTGGTTGGTTGGTTGGCTGGCTGGCTGGTTGGCTGGTTGGTTGGTTGGTTGGTTTGCTGATTTGTTTGGTTGATTTGATTTGACTGATTGATTTTATTTGATTGATTGATTGGCTGGCTGGCTGGCTGGTTGGGCTGGGCTGGGCTGGGCTGGGCTGGGCTGGGCTGGGATGCGCTGGGCTGGGCTGGGCTGGGCTGGGCTGGGCTGGGCTGGGCTGGCTGGCTGGCTGGGCTGGCTGACTGGCTGGGTGGGTGGGTGGGTGGGTGGTTGGTTGGTTGGTTGGTTGGTTGGTTGGTTGGTGATGGAAGGACGGAGGATTGACTGATTGATTGGTTGACTGCTTAATTGATTGGTTGATGGACTGACTGACTGATTGATTGGTTGGTTGGTTGGTTGATTGGATGGATGGATGGATGGATGGATGGATTGATTTATTGATTGGTTGATTCCCTGCTTGATTGGTTGGTTTAGGATTGTTTTGTTTTGTTTGAGTGATATGATTTGATTTGAGTTGATTTGATTGGATGATCGACCCACTGGGGCCAGCATGGCTGGGGTCGATTCAGGGTTGTATTTAACCACTGGGCCGTACCCACTTTTGCAACAGAAGCCGAAAAAGTTTGTTCAAACAACAAGGCTTGGCTCTTTGGTGTGGCGTGTAATGTTGAAGCTGTTGAACGAAGGAGTGGCCGACCACTAGCTAGCAGCAAGGTCAGCCGTGCGACAGGCCAGAGGTGTTCTTCCTATTTCTTGCATGGCATGGTCAAAGGGCCCATTCCCTTACCTCCCATTAAGAATGAGCAAGCAAGGCACACCCCCTGTTCCTGCATGGGAGGTGGATCCCCCACCTGCACAGGTTCCTTTTGAATTCCCTGAAAAGACACGCCCATATGGGGGAGCGTTTAAACACCGACCAAAAAGGGCCCCCCCCAAAAGAAGACAGACCATATACACGCCAAAGGCACGTCAGTGTACCTTACCCCTCGCCGGCCTCTGCTCAATCAAGCGCTTTTGGTGCCGAGGCGAAGGCGGAGAACTTGCCGAATCTTCTGGAGTGGGTGGTCCCAAACTTCCGAGTCACGGTGGACACCTGGGTGCCGCTTCGGCCGCAAGGAAAGCGTCGGGGCGTGGCTCAAACAATGGGGCTCTAGGGTTTAGGGTCTGCTTGCTCAAGAAAAGTTTGCGCGCAACCCACGCATTCCAACAGCTTGGAGAAGACGAGGAAAAAGGCCATGTAGTCACACAGCATCCGACCTTGAAGAAGCGAGATTTAAAGTACAACCCATGGGGCTCAGCGGTTCTTGAGTCATTCGCAGGGTCGAGCTTCCGGCTCTGAGATTCTCATGAAGCCCATTGCCGACACGAAGGGCTGATGAATCAGGGAAGTTCGAATGGAAGGGGCCCGGAACATGGGGAAAGGTGTGGTCACTTTTCATGGGTTTGTTTGTTTGTTTGTTTGATTGTTTTCGTTGTTTTCGGTTCTGTTGGTTTTTCGCCCGCTGGCGCCGGCGTTTTTCGATCCATGCCATTTGGAAAGATGGGCCTTCGCTGTGAGGCCTTTGTAGGGGGTGCCCAGTGGTTTTAAGCAGCAGCTTTTAACCCCTAAATCCTTCAAGGGGAGAGATGGGGACAGCCAATCAACTGCTGAAGGGTTGCTCCAAGGGCAGGAATCAGAGCCGGATCCAGGGTGACGCTTCATCCGGCATGGCAGAGTCAAGGATCTATTCAGACCCTGCACCAGATTTCCTGGTTATGAGGGGGGCCTGAATGTAAAGTTAAAGGGACCCTGCAATTTGGGCAGTCTGTGGCTCAGATATGCTTCCCTTCGAGCAGTCTTGGAGTTAGATAGTTTTGTTCAGTATCGAGTTCGTGCTGGTTTGGTTTAGTATTAGTGACGTGTAGCTTGTTGTATGAAACTGATTCGAACAGGGGACCCTGATTTGCTCGCCCTTGGGTTGTCTTTGCTGAGTTAGGCACCCTTTTTCAGTATGGCATAGAATGACTCTGCTGTACCTATCAACCTTTATGATGAATCTGGCACCGATATTGATGTCAACCCCAGGTCCAAGTAGACCCTTGCAGATCATTAGGGACGTTGTCCCAAAAGGATCTCTGAACGGGGGTGCTGCCCCATTCCCTTGCGTCGCAATCACGCGGGTATGTAAAAGCAGACTCAGGGACAGTCCCGAAGCGTACTGGGAAGCCCTAGATACTAAGTTTTGCTGGCTCCGTCGTTGGTGTGAGGCTCCTGAATCGGGGCTGATAGTCTTTTTTGCCAAGTGGGTGGCATAATTCAAGGGTACTACCTCAAGTCCCACCAGGAACAGCCAGAGGATTACGTGGAACCCTTGAAGCCGGGGATGCACGAAGCCGAGCTTCGTCATGTTGAAGCCCAAAATCTTGTGGGAGCCACGCCCAAGACACTTGCAGCTTGCCATTGCTGTTGGAAAGGGGTGATTTTGCTGACTGGTTTTCCGGAATCGCCAGGTTCCTTCCCTCCGCAAGTTCAGATGCCGTTCGGCGGGACATGAGAAACTAATTGAATTCCCACCATTGAACCTGGAAAAGGTGGTGTTTCTGTGCTCGGGAGGGGCTTTCAAATAGTTGAGTACCATACTTCAGCCATGCTTCCAGCAAGACAAAGCCACCGATAGATGAGCGCACCAATTACGATCTGTTGGGATACATCGTGGTACCTTCAGTAGAACCCCACCAATTAAGGTTCCACCTCAGGGTTCCTCATGTAGGTTTTCCCATTCCTGTTTTGGGGTCTTTCCCAAAAGGAGTCAATTGGTTGGGAGGACAAACTAGGCGACCCATGCAGTTGACCATGTTCGTTGGTTGACTTCTGCAACGCCAGTCTCAGGCAGCATCACGCCAACGCCCAGTATTCGGGAAAGGCCTTGGAGGAGAGCCTGGACAAAGTGACCTGGCCGAGGAGTGGCAGGATCTGGTTCTTCCTGAATTTGAGGTTTGGATAATCCCCCACCCACCCCACCCCACCCCACCCGACCCCACCCCACCCCACACAAGTAGTTTCTTTTGTCGGGGGGGCTTCCTTTTGAACCACCATGGGGGTTGATCAAAAAGTTGTTATGGGATGCCAATTGGGCAAGCCCATTAAAACATGATGATCTTTCCTAAATGGGAAATAAGCTACCCATGTGGTTGTTGTTTGTTTTTTTTTTGGCGGGGGGATATTGACCAGCCCCCATGTAGCGCGTTCTTTCTGCGGGGTCACCCCAGAGATCCGACAGATCCGACACCTTTGGGCCCAGGTGCGCTTCTTCGCACCGGGGGAGGGCTGCTGGGAGGGGTCGCTGCACTGCTGCGGCTGCGATGAGGACGAGAGCTTGGCGCCTCGGCTCGGCTCGAAAGAAGGCCACAGGGACCTGTCTGTCCTTTTGTTGGGGGCTTGGAGCCTCAAGTCTTGGTGGTTTGGGGCTTGGAGCTGTGGGTTTTAGGTGGTATTCCTTGTTGTCGAAGGCCACGTGGACCTGTCTGTCCTTTTGTTGGGGGCTTGGAGCCTCAAGTCTTGGTGGTTTGGGGCTTGGAGCTGTGGGTTTTAGGTGGTATTCCTTGTTGTCGAAGGCCACGTGACCCTGTTTGTCCTTTTGTTGGGGGCTTGGAGCCTCAAGTCTTGGTGGTGGGGGTTGGAGCTGTGGGTTTTAGGTGGTATTCCTTGTTGTCGAAGGCCACGTGGACCTTCTGTCCTTTTGTTGGGGGCTTGGAGCCTCAAGTCTTGGTGGTTTGGGGCTTGGAGCTGTGGGTTTTAGGTGGTATTCCTTGTTGTCGAAGGCCACGTGGACCTGTCTATCCTTTTGTTGGGGGCTTGGAGCCTCAAGTCTTGGTGGTTTGGGGCTTGGAGCTGTGGGTTTTAGGTGGTATTCCTTGTTGTCGAAGGCCACGTGGACCTGTCTGTCCTTTTGTTGGGGGCTTGGAGCCTCAAGTCTTGGTGGTTTGGGGCTTGGAGCTGTGGGTTTTAGGTGGTATTCCTTGTTGTCGAAGGCCACGTGGACCTGTCTGTCCTTTTGTTGGGGGCTTGGAGCCTCAAGTCTTGGTGGTTTGGGGCTTGGAGCTGTGGGTTTTAGGTGGTATTCCTTGTTGTCGAAGGCCACGTGGACCTGTCTGTCCTTTTGTTGGGGGCTTGGAGCCTCAAGTCTTGGTGGTTTGGGGCTTGGAGCTGTGGGTTTTAGGTGGTATTCCTTGTTGTCGAAGGCCACGTGGACCTGTCTGTCCTTTTGTTGGGGGCTTGGAGCCTCAAGTCTTGGTGGTTTGGGGCTTGGAGCTGTGGGTTTTAGGTGGTATTCCTTGTTGTCGAAGGCCACGTGGACCTGTCTGTCCTTTTGTTGGGGGCTTGGAGCCTCAAGTCTTGGTGGTTTGGGGCTTGGAGCTGTGGGTTTTAGGTGGTATTCCTTGTTGTCGAAGGCCACGTGGACCTGTCTGTCCTTTTGTTGGGGGCTTGGAGCCTCAAGTCTTGGTGGTTTGGGGCTTGGAGCTGTGGGTTTTAGGTGGTATTCCTTGTTGTCGAAGGCCACGTGGACCTGTCTGTCCTTTTGTTGGGGGCTTGGAGCCTCAAGTCTTGGTGGTTTGGGGCTTGGAGCTGTGGGTTTTAGGTGGTATTCCTTGTTGTCGAAGGCCACGTGAACCTGTTTGTCCTTTTGTTGGGGGCTTGGAGCCTCAAGTCTTGGTGGTTTGGGGCTTGGAGCTGTGGGTTTTAGGTGGTATTCCTTGTTGTCGAAGGCCACGTGGACCTGTCTGTCCTTTTGTTGGGGGCTTGGAGCCTCAAGTCTTGGTGGTTTGGGGCTTGGAGCTGTGGGTTTTAGGTGGTATTCCTTGTTGTCGAAGGCCACGTGGACCTGTCTGTTGGGGGCTTGGAGCCTCAAGTCTTGGTGGTTTGGGGCTTGGAGCTGTGGGTTTTAGGTGGTATTCCTTGTTGTCGAAGGCCACGTGGACCTGTCCTTTTGTTTGGAGAGGTGGTATTCCTTGTTGTCGAAGGCCACGTGGACCTGTCTGTCCTTTTGTTGGGGGCTTGGAGCCTCAAGTCTTGGTGGTTTGGGGCTTGGAGCTGTGGGTTTTAGGTGGTATTCCTTGTTGTCGAAGGCCACGTGGACCTGTCTGTCCTTTTGTTGGGGGCTTGGAGCCTCAAGTCTTGGTGGTTTGGGGCTTGGAGCTGTGGGTTTTAGGTGGTATTCCTTGTTGTCGAAGGCCACGTGGACCTGTCTGTCCTTTTGTTGGGGGCTTGGAGCCTCAAGTCTTGGTGGTTTGGGGCTTGGAGCTGTGGGTTTTAGGTGGTATTCCTTGTTGTCGAAGGCCACGTGGACCTGTCTGTCCTTTTGTTGGGGGCTTGGAGCCTCAAGTCTTGGTGGTTTGGGGCTTGGAGCTGCGGGTTTTAGGTGATATTCCTTGTTGTCGAAGGCCACGTGGACCTGTCTGTCCTTTTGTTGGGGGCTTGGATCCTCAAGTCTTGGTGGTTTGGGGCTTGGAGCTGTGGGTTTTAGGTGGTATTCCTTGTTGTCGAAGGCCACGTGGACCTGTCTGTCCTTTTGTTGGGGGCTTGGAGCCTCAAGTCTTGGTGGTTTGGGGCTTGGAGCTGCGGGTTTTAGGTGATATTCCTTGTTGTCGAAGGCCACGTGGACCTGTCTGTCCTTTTTTTGGGGGCTTGGAGCCTCAAGTCTTGGTGGTTTGGGGCTTGGAGCTGTGGGTTTTAGGTGGTATTCCTTGTTGTCGAAGGCCACGTGGACCTGTCTGTCCTTTTTTTGGGGGCTTGGAGCCTCAAGTCTTGGTGGTTTTGGGATGTTTTGGGGCTTGGAGCTGTGGGTTTTAGGTGGTATTCCTTGTTGGTGTTCCTTCAAAACCCACGGCAAAGGGGTACTCCCCAGGTTTTGGACCTTGTTTCCATTTGCGAGGGTTTCCAATAGGGGTGCCTAATGTTGACCCACACCCTGGTGCCGAACATCGCTGGTTCCTTGTACCCAACGCTAGACCAAAGATGGAACCAGGGTTCCTGGAAGATCATATTCCCAACGGGGCGACTCTATGTGGTTAAGGGGTACCAGGCTCCAACTTGAAACATTCGCTTTTGTTTTGCAATGATCTGTATGTAGCAATACCCTCGTGAGGGGGGGATGTATGCTCAAAGGGCCTGATGGACGGATTTGGATGTTAACAGGAAAGCGACCGGCCACTTTGATCAGTTCGGTCGAATGACCTATCTAGGAAGGCTAGGTTGCCCTGGGCCAGAGCAAGCGTTGCCCGGTTTTCCTTTCTTCTTTTTTTCTGTAATAGTCATGGCCATCCAAAGCACCCTATGGTTTTGGGCAAATAGAAGAATCTCGCAAAGGGTTTTGGTTTGCGACCTCTGGCCCCACGATGATGTGTGCTTTCTGCTGCCTCTGTTGTATTTTTAGTTTTCCGGATTCGTAGATCAGGATTACGGATGCTCAGATATCAAAGGATCACTTGGCCGCCACTACTTGGCTGTGATACGAAGCGGGTGTACTGGGGTGTACCTCCCTGCAGAAGCAACCGGAGATGGCCAAGCAGTACGAAAGTCCGTGCTTGTGCCGTGTGCCTCGCTTCTGACTCTCCCTGGGCTCAAGGTGGACGTGGCTGGGTTAACCCCAGCGGGGTTGCCCTCAAACACACCACACCCACAAATCAAGTCAAGGAAGCGGCCACAAGCCCACAGCACACAAATGTCAAGGGAAGTGTGGCTTGCGGATCAGCTTCTGTAGAACTTTAGCTTTCAGTCAAGCTGAGATCATGTGTTAGCAAGAAGTGGGAATGTGCCTACGTGCGCTTGGGGCCGCAAGTCTTGCAGTCCGTCCAGCCATTCGTCACACGGTTGCACTGGGCACCCAGCGACTCCGTGGTTTTGCGCGGATCCGGATTCCCAGGCCGAAATTTCTGCACTGAACGTTGCCAGGTTTGCAACAAGCTAGGGAAGGGGGATAAATAGTTACGCACATGGTGCTCTGATACTTTATGACTTGATTCAGTACCCGTACCCCACCCCATTCTGATTATGCTTTTGGCGGCTTGGCGCTTCGCAGAACTCGTCTTGCCACTTTGTCTTCACCTGCGGCCAGGTGGCAAACCGTAAAAGCCCGGGACACGCGTACCTGAAAAAATGTGGCTGATGGATAAGCCAAGGATAAGCCCCCCATACCTGTCTCAAAGAATCCTGGAAGTGCATAAGGGGCGCTTTCATTTAGGATAGTAGTCTTCCAAAACGCTCCTGTTTACATCTGTTTACTTGGTGCTTGTCGGATCGAGGGCATGGGATTGTTGATGCTAGTTGCTGGGTGTCCTTTTCAGTGCTGCGTAAAAATGCTTTATTTTCCTTTGCAAGGCCGCAATAGTCCACTTCCATGATTGAAACAAGCAGTCCCCGAGTTCCTGAACGTTCTTCACGTTTTAGGAATATAATTTTGGCGGTAAAGAAAAAGTGGCCAAGCCACTGCGAAAGAAAGAACCACGCCATGTTTTCCTTCGAGATGTTGTCACAGGCTCGGCACAGGCTTCCCGCGGGTGTTAAATGGATCTCGAAGAACAGCAACAGGTAAGTCCCGTTTTGGTTTGCTTTGGGGTTAGCAAGCAGCTTAGATACTTTTTGGCTTCCTCGGCCTCTCCCATAGCCTACTGCAAGAACAAACCCGGTCGGGGGCCAACATTGTAGCCCCAGGCTAGCCTTGAGGACTATCTCAGACTTGGCGAGGCATTGTGGTAGGAGCGGCTTTACTTGCTGGTGCGTAGGGAATGACCTTCCGGGTTTTGGGAATGAACCGTTTTGGGATTCCCTGAAAGGAAGCAACATCGGGGATGGTTTTTCTTGGGGTCATTCGATGTCTCATTCCCTACTGAGCACCAGCGGTTTGCAGGCCACATGGACTCTTTGGATGTGACCGCCGGGGCCTGAGCGGGCTGCAGCTAAGGGTCAGAGGGCCTTGTTCAGATCTTGGGCCAGGATCAGCGATGTAGAGGATCCCCTTGTGAAGCAGGTGGCTTTGGATGAATCCTTGAAGGAACCTGCGCTGCAAGAGCTAAAGTCATGAAGACGCAGCTTTTGGCGTTGTTTGGATGATTGAATGGTCACAATCCAGCCACCTCCGCACCCCTCTGGAAATGAGTGTAACTGCCTGCTGGACAATTTGTAATATTGAGAGGGGGCTGTGTTGCACCTTTTTGAGCGGGTGGATGGGTGGGGGGGACATTGTTCCGAAGTTGCTTTTGGGTCTGGGTTTCGTAAAGTGATCAGGCCTTGGAACTCTCCAAGTTGATTTAGCAGGTGGGTGCCTTCCTTTCTCCCATTTGAGGTTGCCCGATTTTCATTTTGTGCCACGTGGATCAGGAGAGACATGAGGCTTCTCAGCAAAACCTGACTTCACAGTGCTACAGCGCACTTCCCCCGCTCCCGCCAACAAACGTGGAGTTGTACAGATCCGATTTGCAAGACAAAGCCATGGCCTGTGCACCGAAGGCATGAGTGCTGAGTGTGGTGAGTCATGCGTGCTGATGCGAGAATCGGAGCCCTGCCTGCACGTACCCCCCCATCCCCGAAAGGTGTTCAGAGTACTTCTGATAGAACCAAGGAAGTGTCCTTGTATGGGGCCTTGGGTCGTTCTCCTGAATTTGAATAGGAATCGTGAGCCTTTCGAATTGCACTTGGCGACCACTTGGACCTGAAGCTTTGCGTTTCGCGGACAAGGGGAGAAAATCCGGGGGTAAATGAGCCCTACATGCGCAAGTGCCAGATTTCGGTGCCCCTCAAAGGGCCCAGTTGAGTCGGCACGGTTTTCCAAGGCGCTACTGTCGTCAGAGGCGAGTGGGATGTCTGATTTGCCGGGGCGAGGCCTTTTCGGGGGAGACCTATTCCCCCAACATCCCCACCCAAACTCCAGACCTGAGAAACTCCAAAGTCCTGACTTGGCTGGATTTGCTTATCCCGAAAGCTGGCCTCCTGGCTCTTGAGGGGGAGCGGGGTGCTCTCGATTGTGGGCACGAGTGGGCCCGGCGCGGGATGCGCGCTTTTCCCCAGTAGAATCTGGGAGAATCGTGCCATTTCAACGTTCAGAAGCGTAGGCGGGGCACTTTGCGTCCGTTCTGTGTCTCTCTGACCACTGTCTCTGTCAAGTGAGTGGATGAGCGACTCTCCGAAGCCCCAAGCCCAAATTGGCCATATGCTGAAACTCACTCAGCAAGTAGGATGTGGTTCTTTGGGACTTGAACGCCAAATAATGTCATGATCACTGGTGTCTTCCCGAAAAGCATATTCACATCTTGGGGTAGGCTACCTATGAAGCAGCGTGCGCCCTGGAAATTGGCCGAGCAAAGTGAACTCTGAGCCTTGCAGAACTGGAGCATGTTGTCAGCCTGTGAGTGGTCAGGCAAGTGGCAGTTGGGCCATTGGGCCGCGTCAGCGCCTGCTTCCTTGTCCACACCTGTTTGATGTTTGCCTTGTGGGGATCGGTTTTCTTTAACAGGCACCTCAAGAGCGGTTAGTGGACATGACATCCAGCGAAATGATGTCCGCCAGAGGGTCCCTTTTTCAAATTTACAGCCAGGGGATCCGCTTTCAGGTTCCTTGATTGCTCGGAGGGCGACTTTTTGCTCTGGGTTCCAGTTGATCCATTTGGCCCGACACTCATGCAACCGGAGGTCATTGAGGAGCTGGTCAGCGCAGCACCAAGAGCGGTTGCAGCTCCCACCGGGGTGGGGGGGAGGCATTTGGCGTGTTCTTCCAACGGAGCTGTATCCCAACTCATCCCAGCAACATCCATCCAAAATTTATCCCAGATTAATTCAAAGTTCTATCAAAACCCGTTTGAAAGATACTTTCTCTTTTCAGCCGCTAAAGTGCCTTTGATTCTTGGGGGCAGAAAGCAACGGTATGCCCCCAAACCCACCGTAGGGAAGGTGCCCGGATTCCTGTATGAAGGGGCCCCTGCATTGCGCACTGTCGCTGAGAGATGTCACGAAGGGGGGAGAGAAGGGTTGGCATGTGTTGCTTTGTTTTGTGGGGCCGAGGGCATCTTCGAAGTGAGGGGGGAGGCTTGGCATTCATGTTTTTTTGATTTTTGTTTTTATGGGCCAGGGCATCTTCGAAGTGATAAACAGGTCAGCGGCTGGGCATCGTCGGGTTTGCTTCCGGCTCCCTTCGATTGCCGAGGCCAGGCATTAGGCCTTCCTGCCGCCGCAGGCGTGCGTGAGTGAGCAACGGGGAGGGGCCCTTTTTTCAGGTGGAGTGTTCCCTATTGGGCCCCTTAAAGTGGGCCCGCGTCTTGAGGGGGTGGACAAGTTGATCATTTGGGACCAACCACCCCGCAACACTCATTCAGAACTTGTAGAGTTCTTTTCCTTGTTGTTCGCTGGCAGCATCTGGCAGCCTTTTGCCCTTTTGCCTGATAGATTGACCACGCAAACGGGTCAACCCTGCAAAAGTGCCCTTACGGTCGTAGCTGGTGATGCAACTGCGACACGGCCAGGTGCCAAGAAAGCACCAAAGCGCGTCAGGGACCAAGCGAGATTTCGACTCAAGGGATCGAGCTGGAGGCTCTCAAGCGAAGGTGGTGAGAGAACATAGGCAACTGCTGCACTTGGTTGTGTCAGGCGGAAGCCTCTACTCTGGGTCAACATTTGGTATGCTTACATCCTTACCCTTGGCTAACATTTACCTAAGATCATAAACACAACTATATTCTTATCTTAAGTTTGGGGTCGAACATTGGCCATGTATCATTGACTTTCGCGAGACATTTGTTTTTTCTAGGCCAAAAGCAGAGCTCTTTATTGCTACCGCAATGGTTCGAGCCCCTCCCTCAGGCAAACAAACAAACAAACACGTGTGGACACTCGCTCGGTGTTTGCAAGCCTCATGTCTGAGACATTTTTCGGGAATCATTTACCCGCGGTGAAGAAGGCAGTTTCCCACTTGCCAGCGTTCCAGGGGCTGAGCACAAAGGGCACCCCTGAACTGCATGCAGGCGCTTTCGCTTTGCCTTGGCCACAGATCGGCTGGGACATGTGCCCCAGAAAGTGAAGGACCCTCTGAAAAATAAGCACTATGAATTTCCGCTCTAGTGGGCTGAACAAGGAGCTCTCTCACGATGCGTGCTAGCTGACTGCTAATGTTGACCCAGGATGAATAAACCCGTCCCATTATTAGGGGGTGTTCCCTCCAAAACTGGTCTGAATCCCCACTAAACGGGGACACCCCCAAACTTAATCAACCAGGGGTTTATTATTCCGGGGTTAATATTATTATTCATTTAGGGTATTATTCATTACATCCCAATCTTCACTAAAATAGACTAAAATGGGTGGTGCACCTACCCCAAAATGGGGGCGCCCGCCCCCCCCCCCCCCAAGCCCAGGAGGCTCCAAGGCCGCGGTCGCCGGGGTCGCCGGGGTCCCCGCCCCCGCTGGTGCCATCGGCGAGGCGGGCGAACAACGCGCGCAGGGCGGCAGGGGGAACTCCGAAGCCATGGCTCTTGTTTGGGGTTTCATTTTCTAGGTTGAGTTTGGGGCAGGGTTTCAGGGCGCTGCCTTGAAAAAAAGGATTCCGGGAAGGGCATTTCAAGGTAGGCGATGGGCGGCTATGGACCAGAAGCTGGAAACGACATCTTGCGGTGTGCAGGGTTGGGCCAAGAAAAGACCGCAGATTCCAGAGTCCCGAGTAATCCAAAAGGGAGAAGGATCCAGATCCATTGAGAGCGAGGGGCCGAGGGGCCCTGTTTATACACCGATGTAGCTTCGCATGGCTGCGGGTCCGCTTCTCAAATTCAAATGAGGGTGCCCGCTTGTGGGCCCAGTTTTGGGCTGCCTCTTTGTTGTGCCTGTCAAATGTTAAAAGACCAGCTTGGGTTAGTAGGGGCGGTTGGATCCGGCCAATATTTTTGAACAACCATGGTAAGGGTCAAAGGAAAGACCAGAGAACGAACTTAGACTAGGAGGTGGGGTGAACCCGAAATTGTGCAAAGCGAATCTTGAAGTCCTAGTCAAGGTCCCAGCAGTTCGCCCTTTGTCCAGGCTCGTTGGGGGAATTTTGACCTATGGAATGCTTAGGCAGTTGAATCGTTGACCGAGTTGCTGGGGACCCTTGGATGCCACGACGTGGGCCTATTAAACTTCCCTGTTAGAGATTACACCCAACATCGCGCCGGTTCTGTTCCGCTTGGCTCCTTAAAACGGGGTCTCAAAAATTGCTTTCTCTGGGGAGTTCCCTTGAAACCACAATTTAGGGGCTAATTTTGACGATGTTGCTTGAATGAACTCCAGCTTCATGTCAAGCGCAGCCCGGTCACGGTCAGCGTTTGCCACATGGATGTTCTATTTCGGTAGGTGGGTCCTGTTCGAGACGGTGAGGGAATCCGGCCGGGGACAGGCTCACATCCCCTGTTTCTGGACTTGTGTTTCGGATGGCAAACCAGGGCCCAATGATTTGCCATGGGTGACATGATGTTTAATTGTCACTCTGTACGCATCACTTATAGTATGTGGATTTATGGCCATCAACCATTTTGAAGGGCGTTCCCCATTCAAAGACTGCAGAAGCCTCGTGATCCACGATGCTTCTCTTTTTTCGCTCGCTCCATTAAGTTGATCATAGAAGTATCCCTGTTCCACCCAACATGGAACCCATCAGATTGTCCCTTCCTGCTCTTGTCGCCCGTCGTTCTTTCTCTAAAGCACTCGTTACCAAGCCCTTATCTTCTGGAAAGACGGATCCCTGGAATGGCGGAAGAAAGCTCGAGCCCACGTTCGACTGGCTCTCGAATGCTGTTCCAATTCAGCAGTTTTCTCCTCACGAGCGGCGTGTAGTGGCTAAATTAGCGGTTGGGGGACTGCCTGGCGGCGAGTGGTGATGAGAATGCCGAACATTGAGCCTCGCTGCTGGGCCCCCTGTGTACCCCCACCTTCGGGACGGAGTCCGACGGCACGAGAGTAGAGAGGCAAAGCTCAAACCATGACGTTCATTTGGGTTGTTCAGCATCTTAGGATTAGGCATCCCTCCAGTTTGAACCATCCAACCTGTTATTCTGTTCGAGGTTGCCCTCTTTCCGGGTTGTTTCAAAGGAGAATCAAACCAAAGACACCGCCCCCATCCCAACCAAGAGCTTTGCGGCCGTGGAAACCTTGAGCCAAAACACACCTCGATCCAGGCTAGTGAAGGCCGAGGAGGCGCGCGCCCGACCGACCCTCCAATTTCTTACCTGCTTGGCCGCCCGGGATTCCTTAAGGGGTTACAAACGTGGCGCGTTCATGGGCTTTACCCCTTTGGTGGCCATAGGGCTGGAGACTGACAGGATGACAAAGCGGGTGGGGATCTTGAAGCGGGGCTCCCTTCATTTGATGATTTGTTGAACATAATGCAAGAATGAATGTGCTTTAAAACTATGAAGACAATTAGGATTGGTAGAGGCATTGGCAATAGCTCTTGTAATTCGAATCGGTGTGTTTTTCATGTTTTTATTTTTTTTGGGGGGAGGCCAAGGGTTCAGTCTTTACGTCTGGGGGGTTTCGCTCACAGGTCAAAGCCACAGGGGTTGAAGAGTTGCCACTGCCGTGCTTCCGGGGTCCAACGATTTCATGAATCAAGGGAACGGTTCAGGGCATTGCCTGCCAAATGCGGGTTTTTGGTTGGCCAACCCTTGGTCCGTTTAGTCAGCGACTCTGACTTTCGTTGAACCATTGCTGTTTGGGAACTAGGGCTTTGGGGCCGCTTTCTGATACCAAGCGGGCCAAACCCTTTAAAGTGATGTATGGGAATGACCCAGGTTGGTATCACCGAAGGTGTTAAATCCCATGCTACCGGCCCCTACAATCCGCCCAAGCACTGGGGGCAACCGCCTTGATTCGGAAGGAGCCCGGGAACGGCCTGCCCATGTCAACCCGATTCTCCTGTTACGGAAGCCCAGAAACCTGGAAGAGAGACGGTCCAGGAGAAGAGACCATCCAATGTTGGCTTCTTCTTTGGGAAAACACGTCTTCTTGTCGCTTTGAGGATGCCTGTATCAGCTTTAGTCTGTTGGCTCTCCCCAGTACGGCTGTGGCTTTGAGATTCAACGCGGTCAACCCTGTTAGGTCACCGCGCTGGGTCGCTTATTGGGGGGGGGGGGCGTGGCTTAGGTCTTCTTCTTGATTTGCGGGTCCTTCGTAAGTATTTCATCTCAAGTTCATGGACACTCTCTTCGCAGACTTGAGGAAATGTCAGGCATTGCTCCCTCAAAGTGGTTCCGGGCTTCTCTTGGAGATATCTCAAACATGTCAGCCGGAAAAATAGTTACTCGGCCAAAGGACCGGCCTGTTTCGCATGGTTGCTACGAAACCCACAAAAACTCGACTGCTTTGGGGTTGGCAGAGGGGTCAACAGAAACCCACAGCAAAGGCGTTTTTTCCTGACCAGGTCTGGGGTCTCGGGCTGAAGCGCACAGCTCTTTCATCCGTGCCAGGTGCCCAAAGGCCGGCGGCCCCGGTCGCCCAAGAAGCTGGGCTTGGTTTCAAGCTCACCCATTGGCGTCCTGTCCAACAGCCCCAAAACTTGCGGCACCCTCAAGAAATGGAAGCCCAACAAACGCTAGCCAGTTAAACAGCGGAACTTTCTGTGTATGGGGTGATGTGAAGAAGATCCTGAACAAATCGTGATAATCGTGAAGTTCTTTAAGCTCAATCTGCTTGACTTCCCCTTGAATTTCCAGCCAAAGCAGCATGTTAGACTTTGGGTCCGGCACTTGGTAATCCCATCAAATTCTCAGCCAGAAGACTGGCCTTGAGGCCTTGCTTGAGGTTCGTAGCGGCGCCAGTGGGTGCCAAGATATCGTGGGCACAAAACGGGTGGCTGGCTCGGCCAAGCGGGACCAAGGAGCAAGCATGCCTGCGTGTAGGTGTGTGTGCGTATGCGCGTCCTTGCGCACGGCGTGCGGCCGTGTGTGCCTGTGCGCGTGGTTGCGTGCGTGGGCGGGCGGGCGGTGGGTGTGTGTGTGTGTGTGGGTGGCAATTGTTGGTTCTGATCGTGGGCTCATATCTCGCTTCGGGTGGCCAAGCAGTTTGGCAACTTGCTACATGCCACATACCAGAAATAGGGAGGCCTTCTATCTCGTGTGTGTGTGTGTTTCTTCACGGCTTTTGTTTCCCTTCTGAGGCTCGCCGCAGGAGCTATGGGATGGTCGGGTGCGGATACGGGCGCCAACTGCTCAAGAGGAAGATGCAACTGGACCAAAGACCGAGTTCTGTTTGGAAGACTAACCTCCATTCATCATGGAGCTTTGTGGAGTGCTGGAAGGCCATTTTCGAAGACCCGTTTATTTATTGCATGTAGGCATGCCGAAGCATGGAACCGGGCTCAAGCATTGTTTGTGTTTTTTGTTGTTTGGGCGGGGGGCACTAATCCCTACCTTTACCAATAAACCGGGGTCCCCCTAAATGAAAATTCCTTTCACTGTCAAGTACCGAGAAAGCGATGTTTGTCTCCCCTGTTGGGCGGTCGGGTCTTGCTTGCAGAGCGGGATGTAAACCTCATTCATGAACTCCCCAAGCCCCTTGAAGTCAGTTTGCAGTTTGCTAAGGGCGGTATGAAGACAGTAACTTGCATAGTAAGCCCTGCATGTAGCGCGCCTTTCTGAGCGCTTTGAAACCATGTAACTTGCGAACGCGGGTCGAAAGGAGCGCCTGGTGGGGTCCCCTGCCTTCGGCCCCCTGGGGCGTAGCACCGGCTTCGGCGCGGCAGCCTGGTCTTGCATACCAAGGGGAACTTTGCTTTGGTGTGTGTGTGTGTGTTTTCTTTTTTTCTGGGGGGGATGTGTGTGTGTGTGTGTGTGTGTGTGTGTGTGTGTGTGTGTGTGTGTGTGTGTGCGTGTGTGCGTGTGTGCGTGTGTGCGTGTGTGCGTGTGTGCGTGTGTGCGTGTGTGCGTGTGTGCGTGTGTGCGTGTGTGTGTGCGTGTGTGCGTGTGTGCGTGTGTGCGTGTGTGCGTGTGTGCGTGTGTGCGTGTGTGCGTGTGTGCGTGTGCGTGTGTGCGTGTGTGCGTGTGTGCGTGTGTGCGTGTGTGCGTGTGTGCGTGTGTGCGTGTGTGCGTGTGTGCGTGTGCGTGTGTGCGTGTGTGCGTGTGTGCGTGTGTGCGTGTGTGCGTGTGTGCGTGTGTGCGTGTGTGCGTGTGTGCGTGTGTGCGTGTGTGTGTGTGTGTGTGTGTGTGTGTGTGTGTGTGTGTGTGTGTGTGTGTGTGTGTGTGTGTGTGTGTGTGTGTGTGTGTGTGTGTGTGTGTTTCTGTTTGTTTTTGTTTTTTTTTTTGTGGGGGGTGCGGGGGTGGGGTGTTTCTCAACAATCGAGTTCCCGGCCTTCAATCTGTTTACTCTGTTTACCAGTAGGGAGTGCCCATCTCTTTGGTCATGTTCCTCAGAGATAGGTGCGACCGCAGGAAACGGATGGGGAAGGAACGGTTTTCACGTCTCGCGTACCAAATGTTCTTGAATGAGGCATAAAGCCGGCACGGGATTTCTTTGAGGTCTTCGTTAAGAACATTTTGGGAGAAAGGGACATTTACCCGCGAGGGGCATAGATTGGGCAAGTGTAACTTTCTAGGCGACATGTTTTTGCTTTTTGTGGATTTCGGGGTGCGAACTGTGCCCAGTTCCTGGATTTTTGGTTTGGTGGGAGATCATTTTTCTTACTTGAGTGGCAAACAAAAGGGAAATTAAGTTGACTCAGGATTTGTTGGGCTGTTTGACTTGCTTGACTTGTTCTTGACCTGGACCCTTGCTAAGCTTTTAGATGTTGCGGATTTTTCACTGCTGGGAATGAGCCGGTTTGACTTGTTTGACTTGTTTGACTTGTTCACTTGTTTCACTTGTTTCATTTCTTTCACTTGCTTCACTTGTTTGATTTACTTCACTCAGGAAGTCAGCTGGGCCGTTGCCAGCCAAAACTGCACCCCAGGCCACCCGCTGCCGGGCGACACCCTGGCCCGGGCAGAGGCGGAGTCAGCGAAGCCGGAGAAGGTGCGGGGGACTTTGGTCCATTTTGCTTAGATGTTAGGACTTTAACTTTTTGCCAACTAGTTGGTTTTCCATTAAACTACTAAAAGTTAAACTTTTAGCCGGGGAGCAGACAGCAACCAAGACAATATGGGGAATGAATCAGAAGGCTCCTTACATGGGATGGTCAGCGGGGAAACTGGAAAACCACCAAAGGTCATTTGGGGGCCAGGAATGTTGATCAACCCCCATATGTTTAGAATCAGATGGCACATGCGAAATGATGTGTCCAGAAGGCATGCTGGTGCGATATGCAGGGCGTGAGGGAATAACCGCTATACACCATCCTGTGTGGTTTCCTTTAAGGGGACCCCTGGGTGAAAAACATTCCCCCCTGAGCACCATCAAGAGGGGGCTCAACTGCACAAGGCTGTGGCTCAAAAAGAACGTTGCCAAAATGGAACCCTGGTAAGTGGAAACATGGACCAAAACCTGCGTAACCACTCCTGTTTGATTTCGACCCACAGCCACATGTTTCCACAAGTTCATGGATGACACCTTCGGAGGTTTTTTTCCCGAAAGCATGGCGAAGGGTTCTTCCGCTGGGTTCACTTGAGTTGTTCTCATGAGAGTCATTACAAGGTGTCATTGCAAGGAATCATCATCATGAAAGTCAATGCAAGGAGTCATTGCAAGGAGTCATTGCAAGGAGTCATTGCAAGGAGTCATTGCAAGGAGTCATTGCAAGGAGTCATTGCAAGGAGTCATTGCAAGGAGTCATTGCAAGGAGTCATTGCAAGGAGTCATTGCAAGGAGTCATTGCAAGGAGCCATTGCAAGGAGTCATTGCAAGGAGTCATTGCAAGGAGTCATTGCAAGGAGTCATTGCAAGGAGTCATTGCAAGGAGTCATTGGAGTCATTGCAAGGAGTCATTGCAAGGAGTCATTGCAAGGAGTCATTGCAAGGAGTCATTGCAAGGAGTCATTGCAAGGAGTCATGCAAGGAGTCATTGCAAGGAGTCATTGCAAGGAGTCATTGCAAGGAGTCATTGCAAGGAGTCATTGCAAGGAGTCATTGCAAGGAGTCATTGCAAGGAGTCATTGCAAGGAGTCATTGCAAGGAGTCATTGCAAGGAGTCATTGCAAGGAGTCATTGCAAGGAGTCATTGCAAGGAGTCATGGCAAGGAGTCATTGCAAGGAGTCATTGCAAGGAGTCATTGCAAGGAGTCATTGCAAGGAGTCATTGCAAGGAGTCATTGCAAGGAGTCATTGCAAGGAGTCATTGCAAGGAGTCATTGCAAGGAGTCATTGCAAGGAGTCATGCAAGGAGTCATTGCAAGGAGTCATTGCAAGGAGTCATTGCAAGGAGTCATTGCAAGGAGTCATTGCAAGGAGTCATGCTAGGAGTCATTGCTAGGAGTCATTGCAAGGAGTCATTGCAGGAGTCATTGCAAGGAGTCATTGCAAGGAGTCATTGCAAGGAGTCATTGCAAGGAGTCATTGCAAGGAGTCATTGCAAGGAGTCATTGCAAAGAGTCATTGCAAGTCATCATTGCAAGGAGTCATTGCAAGGAGTCATTGCTAGGAGTCATTGCTAGGAGTCATTACAAGGTGTCATTGCAAGGAATCATTGTCAAGGAGTCATTGCAAGGAGTCATTGCAGGGAGTCATTGCAAGGAGTCATTGCAAGGAGTCATTGCAAGGAGTCATTGCAAGGAGTCATTGCAAGGAGTCATTGCAAGGAGTCATTGCAAGGAGTCATGCAAGGAGTCATTGCAAGGAGTCATTGCTAGGAGTCATTGCTAGGAGTCATTACAAGGTGTCATTGCAAGGAATCATCATCATGAAAGTCAATGCAAGGAGTCATTGCAAGGAGTCATTGCAGGGAGTCATTGCAAGGAGTCATTGCAAGGAGTCATTGCAAGGAGTCATTGCTAGGAGTCATTGCAAGGAGTCATTGCTAGGAGTCATTGCTAGGAGTTACTGCAAGGAGTCATTGCAAGGAGTCATTGCAAGAGTCATTGCAAGGAGTCATTGCAAGGAGTCATTGCAAGGAGTCATTGCAAGGAGTCATTGCAAGGAGTCCTTTGCAAGGAGTCATTGCAAGGAGTCATTGCAAGGAGTCATTGCTAGGAGTCATTGCTAGGAGTCATTACAAGGTGTCATTGCAAGGAATCACCATCATGAAAGTCAATGCAAGGACTCATTGCAAGGAGTCATTGCAAGGAGTCATTGCAAGGAGTCATTGCAAGGAGTCATTGCAAGGAGTCATTGCAAGGAGTCATTGCAAGGAGTCATGGCAAGGAGTCATTGCAAGGAGTCATTGCAAGGAGTCATTGCAAGGAGTCATTGCAAGGAGTCATTGCAAGGAGTCATTGCAAGGAGTCATTGCAAGGAGTCATTGCAAGGAGTCATTGCAAGGAGTCATTGCAAGGAGTCAGTGCAAGGAGTCATTGCAAGGAGTCATTGCAAGGAGTCATGAGAGTCATTGCGAGCTGCGCATGGAGTCAAGTGCAAGTTGCAAGTGCAAGGAGTCAAGTGCAAGTTGCAAGTGCAAGGAGTCAGGTGCAAGTTGCAAGTGCATGGAGTCAAGTGCAAGTTGCAAGTGCAAGGAGCCAAGTGCAAGTTGCAAGTGCAAGGAGTCAAGTGCAATTGACTTGCGAGGAGTTAAAATCTCTTCTTAGGGCGGCGGGGTAGTGCCGACGACACTACCCCTCTGCGGGGATCGGCGTGGTCGAGGTGCAAAAACCCATGGTTTTTTGCGATTTCTGCTGTGCTCGCGCGACCCTCTGCGGGGATCGGCGTGGTCGAGGTGCAAAAACCCATGGTTTTTTCCGATTTCCGATGCCCGCGCGACCCTCTGCGGGGATCGGCGTGGTCGAGGTGCAAAAACCCATGGCTTTTTGCGAATCCCTCTGCGGGGATCGCGCGTGGTCGAGGTGCAAAAACCCATGGTTTTTTGCGATTTCTGCGACTCTTCGGCGTGTCGAGGTGTTCGATTTCTGCTGGTCCTCGGCGTGGTCGAGGTGCAAAAACTGTCTCGTGGTTCGCGCGCCTGCTCCCGGAACCGGCGGGTCGCGGGTTCGATTCCTCCCTGGTCCGCGGGCGGGCGTCGCAAGATGCAACTTGCATATTAAAGCAACTTGCGCAGAGAGCAAGTTGCACAGAGCAACTTGCGCAGACCAATTGCACCGACCAGTTTGCGCAGAGCGCCTTGCCTAGAGCAACTTGCGCAGAGCAACTTACGCAGAGCAACTTGCACAGAGCAACTTGCACAGAGCAGCTTGCACAGAGCAACTTGCAGGGAGCGCAATTTGCACAGGGCAACTTGCAGGGAGCCACTTGCAGGAACCAACTTGCCGGAGCAACTTGCGCGGAGCAACTTGCGCAGAGCAACTTGCACAGTGCAACTTGCGTAGAGCAACTTGCGCAGACCAACTTGCACCGACCAGTTTGCGCAGAGCACCTTGCCTGGCGCTGTCTCGCGCTTGCTTCACAAATGCTTCGTGGAGGGAAAAAGAACGCATCCTGCAGCGTTGGGCCGACCTCGCTTGCGATGTTATGCTTTCGGGCCAACCGTGGTCTAGTTTTTTTTAAGCTTTCGCCAGGCGAGCCCTGCCCCGCGACAGCCGGCAACCGGCCAGGGGAAGAAGGAGCACAGACGGGCCGTTGCCAGTCCAAAGGCGTTCCTTTTTTATAGTCAACGTTTTCCGCTATTTGCTGCCTTTCAAGGCCCAATGAATTTCATGAATCGACAACGCAACGGCAAATGTGGGCCAATCAGCCACGCGAGTACCGCTCAACTAGCAACACGTATTTGCTTTTGGCTGCGGGAGCCTGAGTCTGGCCCAAGAAGTGAGATTTGTGAGAACTTCCCCCAAGCTTGTTCCCTGGATATGGTGAGATATGGTAAGCTTTGGCACCTGGGAAGGGAAATTGCCCAGTGCTCAAATTTTCATGCTTCCCATTTGGCCGCCTGGGTGTGCTGTAAAGGTCTTATAAAAGGAGCAAACCTGCAAAAGCCGTGAAATCAATCTCCAAACGGCCACGTGCGGGGTTTAGCGATGGCCGAGAGCCTGGGAGGTGCTGGAAACGCCTTTATTTAGGCCTCAGGAGGCCTAAAAGGGTCGACATCAAGATTTGTCTTGGAAATTCCATCCGTGGCAAAGGTGCTGGCCTTTCTTCGTTTTTTTCAATCATCTCAGGAGGAGCCGTCCGCAGAGGAAGCCGAGAAAGCAGAGAAAGCAGGCCAGGCAAGGGACTATCAGCACACCACCACCCGAGTACAGTTCCTGTTGCGGTGTGCACGGAAGCATTGCATGGGACCGGGGCCACTTCGTTTTTGCCCAGATGCCATCAGCAGTTTGCCTTGAGCGTGGAGTGATCCAGTAGTGGGATTTGTCAGTTTTGAGGTAGCCTGGGGGCATGGCCCCTGCCTGATTGAAAGCATTGGGCCCCCCTTGGGGCAGCTTATGTTGCGGTTTGGTCTAGGGGTATTGTTCCGACCTTTGGCCGGCGCCTTTTGCCCGAACTGATGCGCCTTGACGACGGGTCGTGTTGAAGGTCTATTGTGGCCCCAGCCCGCACATGTCACCGGGGACCCAATGACCCCTGACAGACAACCCTTCCATATGTGCCTCTTGCATCAGCAGTAAGTAAACAGGGCTGTCCCAACATGAGGCGCCCATAGATTGAAACAGGAGCTGTCCCCCCCCCCCCAGCCACCGCTACACCTGAAGGCGCCCGGAATGTTTGACCGCTGGCGATGAGTCCAGGCCAGTGGCAATTTTGCTTCTGAAAAGGTTTGAGTCGAAGCGCCGTGCGCAGGGAAGAAGACGAATCCTTCTTCCAAGGCCACGGGGGCATGGGGCCGCAGCGTACACGATGGTATATGTAAGCTGTTCACCCTTGGTTTGCAGGGTTAAATTTTAAAATCCATTCCTGAATTCTTATGCGAGTGGTTTCCCTTGTTGTCGCGTTGTCCCACTACGAATTGGGTTTCGCCTTCCTTTTGAACCACCCATGGATTTTGGAGATGTTACCTGTGTGCCAGCGAAATGGCATGGGTAGCTACTTTGCCCGGAAGTCGGAAATCTATTTGGGTGACTGCAAGCAGTCAGGTCATGTATCGACATCACACGATGATGGTAGTGTTTCTGTCATAGGGTGCGTTTTGGGCCAATGTGGCTGAAGATATGTGGCGCTGTGTCAGTTTGCTTTGTCATTCACCTAGGCAGCCCGAGCCAACCATCATGGCAACCCGCAACCCAAGCCCACCCCCATCCTAAAGGGACCTCCCCCTCCCCCCGCATTTCCCCCACAAAGCATCCCCTTGGTAAGGCCTTGGGTTCATCCCCCAAACAAACCTTGCTGAGGTTTGATCCTTCCTTTGTGGATGGATGGGGTGCTAGTTGTACTGCTAGCTTGACATGGCCTCTTCAAGACGTGGCTTTGGTGTGTGTGCGTGTGTTTAACGTTCCCCTTTCAGCCGTTTCTTTGTGAGAATCCAAAAGCAAACTGAATTTCATTTGGGGGTAATTCATATCCCACATGCCCCCAAATATACACCTTGATGCAGTTTTAGGGTGAGACATGGTTGAGGCACGTCCCTGAACCCCGTAGTTGTTACCTGGGATGTGTGTGTGTGTGTGTGCATGGATCATCCTAGTTCACGGATGGAAGGCTTCACCGCCAGATCATGATGTGTAATCTCGAATCTCGATCACGCGGGAAGATCATGAAGCTCAATCACGATCTCGATCACCTGTGATCTTTATCTTGACCTTGCACATTTGGTGCAGAGCCTTTCTGTGATGTTGATTGTTGATTCCTAATGCCCACTGGCTATCGGATGTTCGTGATCCTCTGCGTTGATTTCCGAAATGCAACTTCTGAAGCCGCAGAACAGATTGAAGCCCCCAAGCCTCCCATGTGAACCGTGATTCTCGGTGAGTAACGAGAGTGCACTTGATTTGAGGATTGACCATGTTTCATGTGATTATCATGTGAGCACTTGACACTCACAGAGCGAGCAGCCTAGCGGAGCAATAAGAGTTGGAGGTGCTTGCTCCGGAAGTGAAGGATCCTCTGCGAAATGAGGCACTCCATCCGCAAACGCTTCTTCACGTGGGGTCAACAACTTCCAACTTGGAAGCTGAGAGCCATTCGCTCGCTTGGCCACCCCTCACCTTTTTCCGCCAGAAGCAGTGCTTTCGTTTTCGCGGCCTTAGGGCCTCCAATCCTCTAGGCTTTGTGCCTTGCCTTTGGTTCCATATGTTTTTCGTGGTTTTGAGCATCTTTTGTTTTTGCCAAGTGTGGATGGAGTTTTCTGGTGGGGTAATGTGTTTAGGCAACATGTAGGAACACATAGGGAACCTGGAGGGAAACATATTGGACCATATTTTTTTGGGAGAACATGCTGAGCATCTTGTCAGTGGAAAAACCGACCTAATGCCACAGGGAGCCTGTATGAGACTGTACACTTCAGCTGCGCCTTTTACGACCAGGCTTGTGGTATGAACTCATGTATGAGGGCATTGCTAGTTTGGGGGGTGAACCAACATGCCCAAATCTGCACGGCCCCAAAAAGGCACAGTGTCAAAAATGGTGGGACGTTGACCCAGCCTGAATAGGGCTCCCCTGGAGCCATCCATCCTCCAGCATTGGGGTTGCATGTGGGGATCGGCTTGTCGGACTATGGGTAAGAAACCAATGGAAAGGAGCATGGCTGCACGGGAACCTCACGGATAGCATTTTAGGGCAGGCTTATGAAATAGAATCAGATAAGATGTGGGAGATGTCCCTGTGCTCAAAATGGAACACCTTGTGACTTTTGGCTTTCCAGTTTTGGTCGAGTCGTCAGGGTTCCAAATGTTCAGACTTTGGGCCTAGGTGCCAAGCAGCAACCAAAAAACATACTAGACCATACTCAAAAAACCAAAAATAATTGTTGTTTCCTTTTCATGTTTCCAGCCCCGATTTCAGCACTCCGCCATCGCCAGGATCGGGACAAGCGGGAGGAGTCCGAGGCAAAAAGTCAGGCCCGAATCTGGGAGTCAGAGTTCGGTGTGTGTGTGTGGTCTGGGTTGCGAGGATACAACAAGGAAACGAACAATCTTTAGAGTTCCCCCCGCTTTGGGCCTAATTCACAGGGAAACAAATCATCATGGGAGCTCTCCCATTTTGAGGTAAACCCATAGAGGGGCAAGTCTGAAGTTGGGAACACCAACTTCAAAAGGGTTGGTGGACATATACATCCAATGTCCATCCCCCTCAAAGCTGAATATATAAACTGAGAAGTGTGTTCGTCCATGTTTAGTTCGAACCCTTTCTTGGGTGAGTCCATGGTTGAACGGCCCGGTTCTCAGCCCGTTTTGAGCTTGAGCTTGTCAGCCTCTCTCAGGGCATGGTGACTACTTAAAAAAGTTTTTAGGGACATGTAGTTATGTGCATTCACAGACAGACATGTTCATACACACACATGGGAGTTCTAAAGGTCCTTGCAAGGAGTTTAGTATTTGGGGACCATCGGTGTTGGTTGAGGTAGCTCCGCAAAAGATTCATGATGGAATTGCGAAAGTATTTTTTCCCCGCGAAAGTTTTGTGTAACTGTATCTTGTAAATCAGTGACATATGAAACCATTCATCTTTTCTGCTGAGCCTTCCTTCTTAACTGATTAAAACTTTGTGTTTTGTTTGGCGCTGGTAAAGCCTGGCTACAGTTTGATACCGTGCTTGGCTGGTTAGTGCTCCAATTGTGTGTTTGTGCGTGTGTGTGTCTGTGGGTGTCGGTGGCTTTACGCTCTGAAACGTGGATGGTTTTTCGCGAAAGATCCGAGAACGCCCGTGCGAAAGCGCAGGTTTCGATTGCAAGGGCAGGTACTATCTGAGCGCCGTGCTGGTCAGTGTGCTAGCTTAGTACTGACAAGTTGCGACTTCAAGCTGGAGCTGCGCGGCTTACCTGCTGGAACCGCGGAAGCGCATATCTGTACTGGTGCTTAAAAGTTGCGGCTTTCCAGCCGGAGCTTCGGAAGTGCATGTCATGTGCTATCCCAGTGATGAAAAGTTGCGTCTTTACAGCTGGAGTTGAAGCGCGATTCCCGCACTCCACTGGGTAATTAAAAGCTGCGACTTTCTGACTTGAGCAATGAAAAGTGCTCGGCGATGAATCCGCGAAAGATTCGCGAAAGTAACTTTTTATTCGCGAAGGATGGCTGTTTCGAGACACAGGAGTGTAGAACAAACACCACATATAGTTATATATGTGTGTACACACGCGGCTTGCCATGCCCCAGCGTTGAATCCACGGAAAACAGTGGCAAGAAAAACGAAAATCAGGAGGGCGGGCCCTGAAATCCCATAGGCCATAGGCTAATTTCCCATCTCAGTTTGAAGGGAAAACTTGGGCAATGGAATTTTGAGACCCCTCACTCCTCTCACCAATCAGGGCCCCTGAGACAGCGGCTCTGTTGATTGCTGGACCTGAACATGAAGAGTACACAGTCCCCCCCCAAGCTTCTGCACAAACTTTAGAGCCTCCGGCTCAGTCCGCCGACATTGTCCTCTCCCTTTTCTCCTTCTTCCCTCTCCCTTGTCTCCCTCGTGCGTTCTGTCGTCCTCTCTCCCTCCCTCTGCTCCCCATTCTCCCCATCCCCCCAAGCCTCTCTCTCCTCAATCTCCCACTCTCTCTCTCTCGCTGTCTCTGTTTCTCTGTCTCTTTCTGTCTCCCTGTCTCCTTCCTGTCCACGCCCCTCTACAGAAAAAGGGCACCCTAATTCGAACCTCTCTACTCTCTCACTTTCTCGCTCTTTCTCTTTCTCTTTCTCTTTCTCTTTCTCTCTCTCTCTCTCTCTCTCTCTCTCTCTGTCTTTCTGTGTCTCTCTTTCTCAGTCTCCGTCTTTCTCTCTCTCGCTGTCTCTCTCTCTGTCTGTCTCTTTCTCTGTTTCTCTGATTCTGGCTCTGTCTGTGGCTCTGTCTCTCTCTCTCTCTCTTCTGTCTCTCTCTCTGTCTCTCTCCCGCTCTCTCCCTCTCTCTCTCTCTCTCTCTCTCTCTCTCTCTCTCTCTCTCTCTCTCTCTCTCTGTCTCTCTCTCTCTCTGCATTGCAGCGTCACGTCCCCCCCCGAGTTGCCTCGATGTCCGGGCACTGCCCCTGCATGACCCTGAACTGTCATCTCACTACTGGCTTTCCCCCTTCATGTCCTTGTCACGTTTCCCATGATGTCCTGGTCCTGTCCCTTCCATGCCATTCAGCCCCCCCTTCATGTCCCTGACATTTTCTCGGTATGTCCGCTTCATTTGCCATGTATGTCCCGTTCTTTCGTTGCGAGTCATTTCCCTACATCTCCCGTCGTGCTTGGTTTCCTTGTGCTTTGTTTCCTCTCCTTCCCCCTGCACTCCCCTTGTTTTCATTTCTGTCCCTTGCATGTCCCTTTCAGTTCCCCTTTGTTTCCCTTTCATGTCCCGCTGCTTTCCTGTCATGTCGACTTCCTATTTCCTCCCCTCATTTCACTTGCTGCATTTCCCCTCTGCTCCCCAATATTTCCAGCAAAAAAACACGGGTTTCCAGCGTTTTCACAATTAGGACGTCCAAAAACACAGAGTTTTTCCAGATTTTCTGCAAAAGGAGGCAGGAACCCCAAACCAAAGAGCCGGCAGGGGGAATCGAGCCTGCGACACCGGCTCCCCGAAGACTACGTTTAGTG